CCCGTTTCTCCACGGCGAGGCCCCCGGCGGCCAGAGCGTGGCCGGCCACCAGGAGGCTCCACGCAGGGCCGGCCGGGAGGGGCTCAGCGTCTGCTCTCCCGCAGGCTCCGGGGCTGCTCATCTCGGCCTTCTGCTGCCAGGAGCTCGCGTCCGCTCTCGCCCGCAACCAGAGGCTGGAGGCGCTGGACCTGGGCCAGAACGCGCTGGGCCAGCGAGGGGTCGCCTTGCTCTTCAAGGCTCTGAAACGAAGCCCCTGCCCCTTGAAGACGCTCAGGCTGAGGACAGANTTTGAAGACGCTCAGGCTGAGGACAGACGAATCCAGCGCCAGACCCAGCAGCTGCTGAAGGAAGTGAGAGACAGCAGCCCCAAGCTGACCATCGGCTGTCAGGGTGTCCGCGCGACCAGGCCGTCCTACTGCGACTTCCTGTCCTGACGGCCCTGAGGTCGCCCCGTCACCCACGTGTCTCTCCACATCTTACGGTGAAGCCCAGGTGGGCCGAAGGCTAATGACCGGGTCAGAAAGGAGAAGAAGCTCTGTCGTCCCCCCCCCCCCNNNCCCCCCCCCCCGTGTACAGCAAATTCTGCACAAGGCTGGTACCCACTTTATGTCAAATGTCTGTTTTCCCCCAAGGACACAGAATATAAGGCAAAGCAACTATGTCTAAGCTGCATTTATTTCAGTTTTATTGAGTTTTAGAGAGAGGAAGGGGGAGAAACGTCGATCAGCTGCCTCATGTGCACACCCCACCGGGGATCAAGCCCAACACAGCACGTGCCCGGCCCGGGAGCCGAGCGGCTGCCGGTCAGCACACGGGGGTGGCGCCCAACTGAGCCACACCGGCCGTGGTGATGTTGAGCCTTTTTTTAAAAAAAAAATCTTCACCTGGGGACATGCTTATTGATTTATTTTTAGAGGGAGAGAGGGAGGGAGAGGAACATTGATGTGAGAGAGAAACGTAGATCGGTTGCCCCCAGTAAGCAGCCCAACTAGGGATCCAACCTGAAACCCAGGCATGTGTCTGACCAGGAATCGAACCCCCAACCTTTGGGTGCCCAGGACGAAGCTCCAACCAACTGAGCCGCCCGGCCAGGTTGAAGGCATGTTTATTAATCTGCCCAGGAGCCAACCTGGCATAAACGTACATTTGGCTGAGCTTGGAGAATTGCCCCGGGCTTGCAACCCTACTGCGCGACTGAAGGCGGTTATTAGTTTCCGGCAAAGCATCAGCTTAGGGTGAGACACCCCTGTTTTCAGGACTCTGCCTTAGGTCCCACACCAGTGAAAGGTAAAGAGCAAAGCTGGAAGGGAGAAACAGATGGGGGAGCTTTGACAAACAAAAATTAAGGGGTTCTCTCCTCGGCCCGCTGGCCCCTCCCCTGAACCTGCCCCAGGCCCCTCCCCTCCTCCAGCCCACCTCAGGCTCTGCACTCGGGGTTCCCTGCCTGGTGGGTATCACAGCTGAAGTTCCAGAAAGAAATAACAAATCCGGGTTGGGAGAAAGAGATCTGGGCCTTGATCTTGGAGAAGCTGAAGCCTTGGACTCGAATGAGATCAACCCAGGCGTGTGTCCGGAGCA